GCTGGTGGAGTGGCACAAGTGGTAGAGCACCTGCCTAGCAAGTGTGGAGTTCAAACCCACTAACACCAAAAACCAAAACCAAAAAAAAAGAAAAAAAAAAAGGGTAAAATTCCTAGAAATGGAATTGCCAGATTAAAGGAATATCCAGTTTAGATTTTTTTTTCCCCTCAGTACTGAGGGTTTGAACTCAGTTCAAACTTGCTAGGCAAATGCTCCACCACTTGAACCACTCTGCAGTCCTTTTGCTTTTTGTTTGTTTTCAGACAGGGTCTCAAGCTAACTTTCCTGGCTGGCCTCATACCACAGTCCTTCTGCTTCTCCCCCATGACTAGCCGGGCCTACTTGTTGATAGATGCTGCTCAATTGACTTCTAAAAAGGTTGTGCTATATTGTACTCGTGCCCAGGGTAATCTCCCCTGCTGCCCCCACATCCTGGTATATTAATTTACAATTTTAAACTAATATGTGAAACATTTTTTTTGTATGCTAAGTTGTCCTTTGTATTTCACTTGTAGCTCCTTATTCAAATTTCACTAAACAGCTGGACCTGGTGGTTTACACTTGTAATCTTAGCTACTTGGGAGGCTGAGATCAGAGGATGATGGTTCAAGGTCAGTCCAGGCAAAAAATTATGAGATGCCTTTACCAACCAATAGTTGGGGAGCAGCAGTGTGTGTTGGCCTGGCATCTCAGCTACATTGGAGAAGCACAGATAGGATGATTTCAGTTCAGTCCAGCTGGGCTTACAGTGAGATGTGTGTCTCAAAATAACCAAAGTCACTTTTACAGAATGGCTCAAGTGGGAGAGTGCCTGCCTAGCAAGCACAAGGGCCCTGATTCAACCCCAGTACAAAAAAAAAAATCACTAAGTGTTAACAGAACCTCAGGTAGAAGTCTACCTTTCATAGGATAGACTTCTGTATTTTGCCATTACTTAGGTGATTTTTAAATGTTTGAATCTTTATCGTCTGATACGATTCCTTTTTATGAGTTGGTACATTAACTTATATATTTAGTTGTTATTATTATATTTTACAAATGTAAAGTTGTTTTTCCACCTATTTGAAAATACTGTGTTTTGGTAGTACTGGGTTTTGAACTCAGCTTTGTGTTTACTAGGCAGGGACTGTATCACTTGCAGCCACACCTCTAGCTCTTTTTGCTCTGGTTATTTTTCACACAAACTCTCATGTTTTGATCTTTTTGTGTGTGTGTGTGGTCACTGGCAGCTGGCATGAAATACTATCTTTATCATCAATTAAATTCTTATTTACGCATGTGCAAGACTATAGACTTTTTTTGGCTTTTTTTTTTTGAAACAGACTCTCACTATGTAGCCTAAGCTGGCCTTGAACTTGTATTCCTCCTGTCTGTTTCTGGCTTTCCTCAACAGATGTTTTTTATTCTGTTTCTGCTGATTCTACTTGTCTGTTTCTGGCTTTCCTCAACACTGTTTTAATTATTGCAGTTTTGTAACACAAGCCTATACCTATTAAGCATTGGACAAATATTTGTTACTCTCTAAATTTACTCTTTTGAATATATTTTTGCCAAGTTAGTTTAAAACTTATTGATGAAGGACAAAAAAGGTAAAACAGTTTCTGTCTGAGGTGGGTACGAGTGGGTGGATAAACAGAGAATGAAGGAGGGTGAATGTGGTGGATGTATTTTGTATTTGTGTGTGAAAATAGAATAACGAAAGGGAAAAGGGAAATGAGGGAGAATGATGGAGAGGGGTGATCTAATTAAGATATATTGTAAGCACATATGTAAATGTCACAAAGTATCTCCCCTGTACAACTGTTATATGCTAATAAATAAAAAACCCATTGAGATTTTTGTTTCTTTTTACCTTCAGGATCCTTTTGTTTTTAATTAAAAAAATTTTTTTGGGTGGTGGGAGTAGGTTTTGAACTCAAGACCTCTTGCTTACTAGGTAGGTTCTCTACCACTTGAGCCACTCTGCCTGCCCTTCAGGATCCTTAAGAAATTGCATTTTAGGCATATCTTTTATTGATAGCATTGCAATTTTTTTCAAAACAATATCTGGAAGTACTTTCTTTTGATGAATTTCTCCCATTCAATTATTATTATACACAGAGATTTAGTCTTGCCTTCTCTTATAATTTCACATTGCTTTTGAATACTACCTTGTTGTTTTCTATCATTTGCTTTCTGGTCTGTGTTTTATTGTTTTTCCCATCTCCAACAATTTGAAAACTATTTACTTTTAAAAATTAATCTTTTAGTCCAGGTGCCGGTGGCTCACACCTGTAATCCTAGCTACTCAGGAGGCAGAGAGCAGGAGGATCGGGTTTGAAGCCAGCCCCAGGCAAAGAGTTCAGGAGACTATGTCTCGAAAATATCCAACACAGAAAAGGATTGATGTAGTGGCTCGAGCAGTAGAACGCCTGCCTGGAAAGCACAAAGCTCTGAGCTCAAACCCCAGTACCACCAAAAATAAAAAAATCAATTAATTGTTTAAATTAGTGCTCAGCATCTGTGGCACCGAGCTGTAATCTCAGCACTCTGGAGGCTGAGGCAGGAGACTTGGCAGTTCCAGCCTGAACTGTATAGTGAGACCCGGTCTCAAAAAATGGAATTCAGTCTTTATTTTTAAATAAATAGGTTTAAGCCCGTGCAACTTCAAGACCATTCCTCTTATACATCAAGAGAGCAAAAAATGTAAGTAATGAAGATCTAGTTAATACAAGTAATGAATTTGATCTATTAAACATAACTGAGCTCCATGCCCGACAGAAAATATGCATTCCTTTTAAACACCAGAGGAACAGTTAAATTGGCTATCAAAGGAGCTATAATAAATTTCACAGAACCAGTTTCACAGACAGACCTCATCATCTGACCTTAGTGCACTAAAATAGAAATTGATAACCTAAGAAAGACTGAAACTCACGTGCCTCTTGCAATCTTGCCGGCTCCACGTGCCCTCTGATCCTTCCTTCCTCTTCTTCCTGGATTGCTGGATGGCTCTGGGAATCTGGAAGTTCTTACTCTATGCAGCAATTCAAGTTCTCATGCCTTCTCCTCCAAACTTAGCTCCCAAACCAGCTGTCTTTAAGGTCAACAGACTTTAGCAAAACAAAAAGGTTATCTTCTGATTTGCCGGGATATGTCCCAAGAAGATTTTTAACTGCAACATTACACACAACTGGTGTCTATTCACTTTCCATCCAAAACTGTGAAAAATGACCAAATATGCTCCTCTTTCTCTTCCTCTCCCTTGCTTTGGGCATGTTTTATGGGTTTTCCTCCTTCCTTAAATCAATGTGTGTTTACTGAATAGCTGTTGTGTTTCAGGCACTGTGGTGGTAATTGAGAATACAGAAGCCAATAGGCAGATGTGGTTCCTACTCTCATGGATCCTGATCTATTGAAGATAGAGAGCCGTGGCTCACACCTGTAATCTAGCTATTTGAAGTTCAAACCCAGACCCAGGGGAATAGTTCATAAGACCCTATCTTGAAAAGACTCATCACTAAAAAGTTCTGGCAGAATAGATCAAGCCATAAGAGGGCCTCCCTAGCAAGCATGAGACCCTGAGTTAAACCCCAGTGCCACCAAACCAGCTCCACACGCACACCAACAAAACCAAAAACACCAAGGATTGAGACATAAAAACAATAAAGTAAAGCTGGATGTGGTCATGTACATCTGTAATTCCAGCACTTGGGAAGCTGAGGCAGGAGAATCACAAGTTCCCAGTCCATCATGAACTATATAGGGAGATCCTCTCTCAAAAAAACAAAAGCAAGCCAGGGTCTGGTGGTTTACACCTGTAATCCTAGCTACTTGGGTGGTAGACATCAGGAGGATTGAAGTTCAAGACCAGTTTGGGCAAAAAGTGAGACCCTATCTCAAAAGAAACATTCAACACTAAAAAGGGTTGGAGGAGTGATTTAAGTGGTAGAGTGCCTGCTGAGCAAGTGTGAGGTCCCAAGTTAAAATGCCAGTACTGCCAGAAACAAAAACAAAAAACAAACACCACCCACATGGTGTAGCATTGTTTCATGGACAGCCGCGAGAGGTCATGGTAAGGAGGTTTTGCTGTTATGGAAAAAAAAATCATTCAGTGACTTGTGTTAAAGTATGGTAGGGTAAGGAAAACTTTACTCAGGACTGTGCAATAAGTACAGGGACTGCTGCAAGCACGTTGAACAACATATGTTTATTTTGATGCTTTTTAAAATATTTTTTCTGTAGGATAAATTCTCAGGAATTGGCTCACTAGGTAAAAGAATGTGAATGTTTTTCCTTCCAAATAATTTATCACCATTTACAATGTGATATTAAAGAATGAACTCAGTCTTAAAAAAGGCAATGAGAAACCATTATGATGTTTCATATAGTTTTGTTTTTCTCTGTGATTGTTAACTATAACACAAATTTAGTAAGCCATATAAATCAAATGCACCATTTAATGAATTACTATAATATCAGTATCACAGGTGTAAGGAAACTAAGACTATATAGTGACTAAATGCAATGTGGGATCCAAGTATTTGATCTTGGAACAGGAAAAAAATTAATGGAAAACCTGGCGAGGTCCGAATAAAGTGTGTAGTACCATTAATGATATTGTACCAATTTTTTTTCTTCCTCCTTTCTTTCCTTCCTTTCTTCCTTCTTTTCTCTGGGATTTTTCTTTTCTTTTCTTTTCTTTTAAATAGCAATAGCACAGTTATACTTTATTACATATGAGGAGCCAGATTAATTACCTTTAACATTTTAATGTTCTTTTATAATACTGACCAAGAAACACTTTTAAACTATATCCAACACTATCTGTTATTTAAACAAAATATTCTAAAAGAAAAAAATTACAATATCAAACTGAGTCCTCTTTTAGAAGTTAAAGAAAAGCTATGAAGCTTAAGGGAAAGAGAAAGAAATGATTTAAAATTTTTAAATTTTTATAAAATGTGCCAAATATTTGACACACAAAAAAAGTTAAATACTTCATATTAGTGTCCATATAAAGCATCTTTTAAATCTAGATAATATTCAAGGTATTACCCCTTCTTAGTTTAAGATACACATTTACTTTAACAACTAGAGAGCTTTCAGAGCAGAAAGGTCATTCTTTCATTACAACAATAATAGGTTTAAATTCTCAGCTTATTTTAAGTATACATTTTAACTCTGCAGTGTGTTTGCAATCACTATAAATCTCTGTCTCAGGAACTCTCTTTTTTGTATTAGGAAGTTTTCAATAGTGTTGGCTTCTCTAAAGAGTCCATCTATCTCTTCAACATAAGATGCGTCAACTGCTGCTCTCTCACTTAAGATCTTTGCATATGTAGACAACATTAGATTAATTTCCTTGCTCATGTCACTTAAATCTTTCTCCAGGGATTCATCTTTATAAAATAGTCCAGAACATTCAGAGAAAGATGAATCTGATTTTCCAAGAGAGGACATCTCTGGATGATCTTGCATTTGAGATTGAGACTCCAATTCTCTTGGTCTCTTGGAGTTTCTAGAATCAGGTTTTACAAGGTGATTTGCCATCATAATCTGGAGGCACAAACTTCCTCGTCAGCAGAAGCTCGGGAATGAGCTGAGATTTTTCTTTATTAACATACATTAACAATTCATGGTGATAATTCTGTAGATGTGATCAGTATACTTTGAACAAGTTTACCCCCTCTATTATATTCCCTTAACCTCCCCTCCTTTTTACATTACCCCTTTTTTCAAACAGTACCAAATGTTGATTTCTTAATCTTGACCAAAAAACAGAAAAGTGGGGTAAAAGGACTGTGTACCACTAAAATGTTAATATGCTGGGGAGTGAGAGAAGAGTACGTGGGAACTTCTTCAACTTTCTGTAAATGTAAAATTACTCAAAAAACTTAAACTGGCAAGTAATAAAGACATCTTTAAATTCCTCACATACTTATGTAATACTTTATGCCTATTTTTGTTTCACTTGATCATATCTTCATATAACAATGATTTTGTAACATGTTAAGTTTGAATACAAAGTAATTCAGTTTTTCTTGAAGAAGAAACAGATTAACGCTAGGTGTGGTGGCTCACTCCTGTAACTCCAGATACCAGGGAAGAAGAGATCAAGAGGATCGAGGCAAAAGTGAGACTCCCATCTCAACAACAGAAAGAGAGAGAGAGAGAGAGAGAGAGAGAGAGAGAGAGAACAGGAAAGGAAAAGAAAAGGTAAGGAACAACTAGATAAGCTGAGTATGGCGGTACACACCTGTAATCCCAGCTATTCTGGGCTACATAACAAGATACTGTCTCAAAAAAAAAAAAAAAGAACCGGGCACTGGTGGCTTATGCCTGTAATCCTAGTTACTCAGGAGGATTGAGGTTTGAGGCCAGCCTGGGCAAATAGTTCGAGAGACCCTATCTTGAAAAATCCTTCACAAAAATAGGGCTGGTGGAGTGGCTCAAGGTGAAGGCCCTGAACTCAAACCCCAGTACCACCTAAATAAGTAAATAAATAAATAAATAAATAGAAAGAAAGAAGGAAGGAAAGAAAAAGAAAGAGAGGGAAAAAAGAGGTAAACTAAAATGTAGCATTTAGGGACCCTATTTGGAGAGATGTGTTAGACAGTGACATGCACGGCTTATGTCCCCTTACACCTGGACATGTCTCCTAGTTTCCTCCTGACTGTGATGTGTATTATGACCTTGACACTTGTGGAGGGTACTGGTTGGGTGCGTTGCTAATGCTTGCTAGGTAGGCACTTCTAGCCACTTGAGTCACTCCACCAGCTCATGGATTTTTTTTTATGGGTTATAATCCAAATACTATTGTGGCTTATTTTTTGGTTCAATTTGTCTCAGCTCTGACCAGCAAGCACTCTTTCTGGTTGGCTACTGTTTTTTTTTTTTTTCCATACTGCAGCTTCCTACCTCCTTTTTCCCCTGAGAACTTCCTTACTTTCTACCATTACAAAATGATTCAGGCTCATCTTGTGTTTTCCCTGCACTAGCCCTAAAATCAGCCATTTCTCCAAGGCTGCTTCCTCGTCTAGACGAGGAAGCAAGTCTCTAAGTGGCCAGGACCTCCACTAACTGGAGTTTCTGCTCTTTCCTGACCACAGACAGCTGGCAGATCCACCCTTTCCTCCTAGGGCAATGGACCAGTGAGGGAGCTCTGTTTGGCTTCTATGCCCTGCTATAGCCACAATCCCCAGCCAGCAGGAAGCTTGAACTTGCCAAACTGTGTGGGCCAGGGCAGGATGAAGGAGGTGGAGTAGCCTATCTGACTTCTCTTTTGCCTTTCCCTGAAGTCATGCTATTGCATGGGAGAGGAAGAGGTAGGGGGGTGGGACTCACGTTGGAGGGCAGACAAGCATGAAACAGAACCTTTCAAGAAATGTGACAATGAGCTGGGGATGTAGCTGGGATAGAGTGGGAGGCCCTGGGTTCAACCCCTGTACTGCAAAAAAAGAAAAAAAAAAGTGACAAATTCATGTTAGGTGAAGCTTGGTAAAGATATGTTCATCTTCATTTGCAGCCCTGGAGAATCTGCTCTTAAACTGGGGCTTCAACAATGACAACAATAACAAAGCAAAAAAGAGGGGCTAGGAGTATAGTTCAGTGTAGAATCCTCCAACACTGCAAAAAATGGAAAAAAGAAAAGTGAGGCTTCATCCTGACTCTGTAACCTTGGCTAAGTCTGTTAACCTCTTCATATCTCAATGTCATCTGCAATATGAGTGTGTGAAAACTTCTTCCTTTGTTGATCATAAGCGGATGTAGTTCCAGGAGACCAACAAGCCAGTATAAAGGTAGACTGCCACAGGCAGTCCAGTCACTGAGACCTGCTCTCTGAAAGTTTTCAGTTGGTGACTGGAGGGTAATAATGGGGGGAGGAGCGGGAATTACCCAAGCTCTCTCTGCTTTAGTTTCTTCATCACTCAAACAGAGTAGCACAGTATCAACTTTAAATGGATGTCTTCAGGGATAAAGGAGGTAATATATAGAAAGTAAATGGCAAAACCAGGACTACAAAGCTCATGCATTTAACCATTATGCTCAAGTCGGCTCAAACCATAATGTATATAAAACAACATAAAGTGTAAAGACTGGCAAGAAATTTGATAAATTGTTAACAGGGTTCATTTTCTGAATGGTGGGGTTATGATTTGTTTTTATTTTCTTTATATTTTTCCATATTTTCTAAATTACTTTTATAATCTGAAAAAAGCTGTATTTGATAATCAGATAACCTTGGGATAATTTGTGATGATCTCCACTTAATTAAAAAATTAGACAATATTTTCTTGTATAATCTTCTCAGCAAGTGTTTGCAGTGGGAATCATTGTCCCTATTTTCCAGATGAGGAAATGGGGCTGAGTGAGGTTAGAGGCTTACATATTGGATCTCACTGCTACTAAGTGGTATAGACAGCCACTTAGATCTGCCTGGAGATCTTGATTGTGTGCAATGCTAGGTGCCATCTCAGGTATGCTAAACCATGCAGCACAGTGCCCAGGACTTCCCATCCCAGTCTTCTGAGCAAAGAGTTTAAGTGAGAGGTGTCAGAACCCAGCTATTGTGGGTGGCTCCCATGGATCTCTTCTGTGGGTCTGATGGTTTCCCATGTTTGTGTTTCTGGTGGAGGATATGGCATGGGAAGTGGAAGTCAAGCAGTACTGTGGATAGTCTCCCTAAGAATAAAGGCTTCCACTATAAAGGTATCCAACAGAGGAACTAAAAATAATAGCATAACTATATAAGATAGAGGGAGGGAAGTGGGTGCGAGCAGCTAAAACCATTCCCTATCATAGCAGGAAGGCAATAGATAAGAGCCAGCTTTGATAAAACCAGATACAGCTACAGAAGTATTTTATGCAGCGGTGTGGAGTCAACCCCTAGGCCTGGGAATGCGAATGGCTTTAAGTGGTGTCCCTGGATAGAGGGGTGGAGAGGGAAGTTTTCTGACCTGTTTTCCTTTCTGTGTATTACATTTTATTTAAAAAATATTATATTAAAAGCAAAAGCTCTGAAGTTTAAAGAAAAACAACAAAACGTAAAGGCTTTGGGGTCATCTGTGTGGATTCAAATCCCTACTTTTGCCAGTTATGGATCATGGGCAAAGTTATCTAAACTGTAATTTTGTCTTCTGAAAAACAGGGATTAAAAACCATACCACACAGGGTATCTCTGAGGACAAAATGAGGTAATGCCTGTAAAGCACAAGGTCCTCTGTTGGCCGAAATTCAACACCTATAATTATTAACCATTATCTTTATTAATAATAAACGATGGGCTCCAGTAATACACAGGGCTCGGCACATAGTAGGTACTTAATAATGGGTGTCTGTAATTATTTAAAACCCCTAACCCATGACGCATGATCCACAGCGCTCGGAGCGAATGCTTCAATATTGATGTGGTTACTCATTTATTCATCACTGCGCCGCAATGTCCTTGGAGCTGAGCCTGCTTTCTGGCCTCCGGCGCAGCACCCGAGGTCCCTCTCCGCGTCCGGGTGGAGGCAGCGGCTCACCCGCCACCGGGTCGCCGTTGCGAGGCTGTCACGAGGCGGGGCGGGAGTCGCTCTGGTTTTCCTGGGGCATTTCCCCCCACAGGGCTGGCGCGCTGGGAGGACGGGAAATCGTGTCCCTAGTTGAGCTGGGGCAGTCGTTACCCTTAAGCATCACCCCACAAGCACGAGTCAAGGGAATGGCCATTCCGGGAGGGGTGGGTCGGGACCATTTCAGGACGAGAGCTTTCCGAGCAGGGGCATCTCAAAGGCAGATTTGGGATTGGCTGGGAGGGGCAGAGCGGGTATTTCATATCGGGAGGAAGGTGTCGTGCCCACCACAAGCGAGGCACGATTTGCGCCCAGAGCCCCCAGCTAGGGGCGGGGCCAGCGCGGGAGCCCCGCCCACCCCTCTGCAGAGGCAGCGCCCCGCCCCGGGCCCGCGCGCTTCGCTCCCTCCCTCTGCAGGCGGGTCTGCGGCGGCCAGGGCGGGAGAGGCTCCCCCGCAGCACTGCCGCACCGCCACGCGGGGCTCGGCCGCGGGCCGCGAGGCGGGGCCAGGGGCGGGGCGCTGACGTCGCTGCGCGGCCGGCTGCCGAAGAGGCGGCGGCCGGCTCGGCCCAGGCCAGCCCGCAGCCCAGTGTGCGGGCGGTGGCGCTGGGAGCCCGCTCCTGACCGCCTTAAATCGCTGCCAAGTTTGTCACTTGGTCCTCGTGTCTGAGCTCGGTTCGGCCAGCCCGTACCCTCCGCCGCTTCCCTTGCCATGGCCCTGGTTCGGGACGACGAGCCGGCGGCTGGGCCCTCCCGCTGGCTGCCCACGCACGTCCAGGTGACGGTGCTGCGGGCCCGCGGGCTGCGGGGCAAGAGCTCGGGCGCTGGCAGCACTAGCGACGCTTACACGGTGATCCAGGTGGGCCGCGAGAAGTACAGCACGTCGGTGGTAGAGAAGACGCAGGGCTGCCCCGAATGGCGCGAGGAATGCTCCTTCGAACTGCCCCCCGGGGCCCTGGACGGCCTGCTGCGGGCTCAGGAGGCCGATGCGGGCCCGGCGCCCTGGGTCATGGTCCCCGCTGCCGCCTGCGAGCTGGTGCTCACTACCATGCACCGCTCGCTCATCGGCGTCGACAAGTTTCTGGGCCAGGCCACTGTGGCGCTGGACGAGGTCTTTGGCGCAGGCCGCGCCCAGCACACGCAGTGAGTGAGGGGCGCGGGGTCGGAGAAAACGGTTGAAGTCCTAACTGGGCGGGGCTGGTAGGGGACCAGGACCCAGAACTGTGGCTGGTGAGCCCCTTGCCTCTCGCTCAAGGATGTAAACCGACAGACTAGTTGGTTCTAAGTATTTTGGGGTCCCCTCCAAGTCTTCCAAACTTGGGCTGGGGTAAGCTTGGGCTCTGGTTGGGCCCCGGGAGACCTGGCGGAGTTTGAGTAGTGGGCAAGCGTTAGAAGTAGATTGTCAAGGTAAGTTAGGAGTGGAATCCAGAGGCTTTGGGCTGTGGGAAATCAACAAGGGCCTCCAGGCCTGTCCCTCTTCCCTGGAAGGGGAAGGGAACTGCAGGCACCCTGCTCAGTGTCCAGCCAGTAGGGAGTGGAGAGCCTGCTTCATCCTGTGGGGGGAAGGAAGGTGAGGTATTACCCTCCAGGGCTGGATTGAAGGGAGATGTCCCAGCAAACCTAGGGCATCTGCCTCTTGTGTGTTTTAGAATGGCCTTCATTGTGTAGAACTGTCCCAACCCCTCCTCCTTGTGTTCAGGGTCCTTGGTCTGTGGACAAATGACCTCCTAAGAAAAGGAAGGAAACACTTGAGTCAGCCTTCAAGCAGCCTGCCTGCCCTGCCTGCATTACCCTGACCTGGTGGAGGCAGCTTTGTGGTTAATGCATAGCAGATCATCTCCAAAGTCACATTCCCCAGAAGGGCCAGTGGGTTTTAATCATTTATTTTGGCAGCATTTGGCTTCCCTGTGTTAAGATCAAGGCTTCAGACTTGAAGTACCATTTCCTGTTTTGGGCTTGGGTGGGATCAGGAAACTGGTCCCCAGATCTGAGCACCTGCCCTGGATCACTCAAGTGGCTAACTTGTGAGTGAGCTCGTTGGAGAGGAGAAGGAATGGGAGCAGGGTTGTGTCCTAGGTGGGGAGTGGTGCAAGAAAGATTTGTCTGGGGGACTGGTACCCACTGAGTAAATCCAAGAAGTCTTGCTGGAGGAGAGGAATGAATCTTGAGCCTGTTGCAGATCAAATGAAAGTAGGATTTGGGTAGGAAAGGGTCCGACCTTGAATGTTTTTCAAAATGTGACTAGGGAAGGGCCTTCCTGGCTGGCTGGCTGTGGCGTGAGTGGGAAGTGGGTTAGCACCTCAGGTTTTCTGTCTCCCCCTTCCCTGGCCTTCTCCTCTCCTTTCCTCATGACTTGCTGTTTGGTTACTGGGTGTGGGGTCATGTGGTATAGCTTGGCCCTTGTTTTGGTTTTTTTCCTCCCCCGTTTTGTCCTTTCCCTCCTTCCTGGTTCAGGGAGCCCAAAGGGGTGGGTGTGGGGTGGAATGCTCTCTGAGAGAGAGCGTTAGCTCTTTTTCAGAAGAGGTGCCTGTCCCCACATCACCCCATTCCTTCTCCGAGTCCTTTACCCTCCACCACTCAGCTACTCTGACCAGGTTGGTGGTGTGTGTGTCCCTTTTTCTGAAAATGACAGGAAAAAAAATCTCTCGCTTGCAGGAAGGAGCTTCTTTGATTTTTTCCAGCTCCTGCTTTTGCTTTCCTCTTGGCCAGGGGATCTTCCTTAGCTGAGCTGGCCTAGCCTGCAGGTCCAGGTGGGTCTGTTTTCAGCCAAGAACAGTATGTCTGGGAGAATTTGACTTGCCCCTCCCCCATCTGAATGGCAGACTTAATTTACTCTTAGAAGTCATCTTTTCCACCAGCATAACTCCACACCCACCTGGCTGCCTTTCCTCTGATGCACTGACCTGGGTTATTTATAGAGCCCTGAGGGCACAGGAGTGGGTGGGGCACCTTGGGTGGGCAGAAGAAAAGTCCATGATTGACCTGCTCCTCCAGCTCAGTGGATTAACACCATGCCTACTGACAGTATGAAGGCTTCTGCCCCAGCTCCAGACCCCCCACTTGGACTCTAATGGCCACTACTGGTGGCATTTCCTGGAGTGTTCTGGCATGGGCTGCTGAGAAAGTGAGTCTGCACATTGCCCAGTAGGGAGAAGGTGGAAGAGAATGGTATTCACATTTACCTCCAGGGGCCAGATGTTGTTGGTCAGGGATGGTGGCCCTATGTTGACCAGAGAACCTGACTAGGGAAGGGAAGGCTCATGGCTAAGAGAAAGGTTGTGGAGTTGCATCAGACAGATTCCACTCTCAAAACTGCCACCTTGTGGCAGGTCAGGTAACTTCTTAGCGACTCAGTTTTCTGATCTATAAAATGGGGATATCTGGGCTGGCATCTTGGCTCAAGTGGTAGAGCGCTTGCCTGGAAATCTTGAGGCCCTGAGTTCAAAGCTTCCCAGAGTTGATATGAGAATGTAAAAACCTACTGCAGTTCTTGGGCATGGTAGGGGGGGCAATTAACAGCAGCTATGGTGAAAGGAGGATTTGGTGACAGTGTCTGGCAGCCTTCCTCTGGAAGATGTCACCTGCTCTGGAAGAGCTTCTCATGTGATGGGGAAGACAGTCAAGAACTTAAAGAGTCTGGGAAAGCCTGAGGGCCATGGGTGATGATAGGAGTACGAGAGTCTGTAATAAAACAAGTTGGCCCTTTGCAGCCTTCTGCCATTCTCTTTGCTGCTAGAGGCTTGAGAACTAGGACTGCCCTTGGGAGGCACGTTTGTTCCTGACGCCAAGCCCAGGTCAACCTATGGCTCTACAGCTTTTCTTGGCAGCCTTGCCTAGAGTTACCCCTGCCTAGGGGAAGGTAAGCTTCCTTTCCAGTTCTGTGACTTACTAGCAGGCAGGTTACTTAACCCTTTCCCTTCTGTCTGAAAGGGTCATGGTGATAATCATCAGTTATACAGATTAAATAAGATACCATCTGTGAAAGCCTTGGTGTAGTTCCAGACAGATAGAGGCTTTCATAATGGTAATGTTGAGGTTCCTCTACGGCCTGGCTTCATGTGCTGGTGGTGGCTGAGGTTCCAGGTACTTTAGTAGACCACTTGTTGATGGGACATTCTTTGAGGTGAGGAGGGTTTTTTGTTTGTTTGTTTGTTTTTGCTGTACTGGGATTTGAACTCAGGCCCATCACCTTGAGCCACTTACCATCCCTGTTTTTGTGAAGGGTCTTTTGAGATAGGGTCTCTCGAACCACTATACTCCTGATCTCTGCCTCCTGAGTAGCTAGGATTACAGGCGTGAGCCTCCGGCACCTGGCAAGGTAAGGAGTTTTATAGGAGGCTTCCAAATAATTTGTTCCCAAAACAAAATTGAATGTAGTACACAAAGACACTTGCTTAGAGAACAGTGTATGGATCATCATGGTTCCAGTGGGTCTGAAAATTCTCAGAGAAGCTTTTTTGCTACATCCTTTCTGGTTTGTACCTCCAGTGTCCCTCCCATCATTCACCAATGGGTGCTAGGTTTGCTTCCCTGGCTCCCAGTATAGAGATGGGGTGGTGGCAGATGGGTCATTTGGACCCTTCTGGTCTTTCTTCTCTTGAAGTGGTTTACACCCCCAGGGGAATGGTGCTGAACAAATCAGAAGGGGAGGGGGAGGAGGAAGCAATAAAGGTTTTGGAATGAGAAGCTAGGGAATTTGCTTCAGAGACCATTTAGATTGGGGAGACCTGCTGTTGGTGCTCTGGGAATGCTAGTCTGTGTGTATCTGGGAGAGGGAAGGGAAGGACACAACTCTGCTGTGTGGAGCCCCTCACTTGCCTTCTCCCTTACCCTCTCTGGGGAGTAAAATGGTCCCAGCCCTGAGACTTAGAATATGAGGCCTATTGGATCAAGGTCTTGGAAAAGTCAAGGCAGTGAGTTTGATGGGTTGGGATCAGTTTGTTTGTTTGAAACACAAAGTCTAAAACTGAGGGCTAGCAGAGTGGCTCAAGAGGTAGTTCAAACCCAGTACTACAAAAAAAAGGAGCCTAACACTGTAGTGACCATGCTCAGGCTGCTAATTGTGGCTCCTGAGAGGCTCTGTCAGCACCTGCCCAGCCATTGTTTTTTTGGGGAGAGGAGAAACACAGGGAAACCTGTGGCTATGGAGGACACAAGCCTGAGACTAGAGGTTCTGTTTAGCTGGTCATGACATTCTTAGAGCTATTTGAATAGGATGGTTTTGGGGACCCTGGAGGCACACCTAAGGGGAACTGCAGCCCATTGGTCTAAACTTGGAAGGGTCTTTGATAGCTTCTTTTCAACCCTCAGGCTTCACATGGCCTGTAGGTAACTGGTGGGATATATAACCCCAGAGCCTTCTCTCTATTGGTTTCCATGTGTGACCTGCTGTACAGGTACCAGCCAAGGCCACTCAGGTCTCTAACTCTGACTTCTGCTCCAATCCTGACCTGGAGCCAAGGCCTGTGGGGCTGCAGGGTGTGGCTGCACTCAGAAGGCAGTCATTAGGATGATGGTGTCTCTTAGTTATGGGGCTGTTTTTATTTGGGGTTGTTTGAACAGTAGCATCTGGGAGAACAGGGAGAAAGTGTGACTCCTCTGTCAGTCTTAGCTGCTGCTTCCCTGGTGGCATAGCAGTTTCCTCTTGCCTCTGCATTTGTCACTGGCCCTGAGCCCTGGGCAAGAACTGGGAAGTCACCCAAAGGCCTGTGGTCAGTCCCATCTCTGCCCTGCTCCCCTCCCTGTAGGCAGCCAGGGACTTGGAACTCAGCAGAGCTCTTCTGGATGACCTTGAGAGCTGTCCTTTCTTCTGATGGTAGCTGCCTGCCCCTCTTGTTATTGCTGCCACCCTGATGCTGCAGTATTCTCCTCACTGCTGAATTGCTGGTCTGGCTTTGTCCAGATGTTTCCCTTGCCCTTCCCACTCTGTGCTGGGACAGATGAGTAACACAATGACAGGAGCTGTCATTGCTCTGTAGAAATCAGTTCCTTTTTCTTTTCCTCTGCAGAATGCTGTGGTCCCTCCCTGCTCTGAGCAATAAAAATGTGTCCACAGCCTGGGTCCTCTGTGCACCTGGCAGTCCTGACTGGGAAGAGTGATTATTGTGTTCTTTCTGAGGAACGTTCCCCTTGGGAACAAGAGG